AGTTGAGACTTGACGACATTGGATCCAGACTCGACATTGGGATTCAGACATTGGACGGGGGTTATTTGGGACCTGTATCACAGACTTGGTGTTGACGACATTCCCATCTTTCCCTCTTCTTGGTCTAACCTGCCTCCTCTTCGTCTGTGTATGGCGGGGACTGGCGCATTCTTCCTGTGTGAGCGCCAGGCCCCTTCACACCATGGAACGATGATGATGTATGTTGGGGCTGCATTGCAATTATATTGATTGTTCGGATCATTGGTATCAAGTGTTCCGCTATGCTATCTTGTACTTTGTATGAGGGGTCGGTTCTTGTTCTGGTCTGCACCTTTACAGTATGCAACAGTTTGGTATCGGAGTGGACCTCTCATTCAGAGGACCCGCTCACTCAAGTAGCCAGCTTGCTTGATCTATTGATTACTCATTAGTAAATCAAGTAGGACTTCGTCAAATCTCTGAAAATTTTTCTCGCAACAAACATCTGAAAATATCTGATAAATTGATAATCGCATTCGTTTTACCTGAAATTTCTGATATTAGTATTTCGTTTTCACGCAACAAATATCTGAAAATTTCTGATAATCGCATTTCGTTTTATTTGAAAAATCCTGATAGTAGCATCTCGTTTCTCTGATATTGCATACATAGCCGAAAATTTCTGATGTTAACATTTCGTTTTCTAGGCATACTAGGATAACGATAGAGGTGGTCATATTCTCGGAAACCGGACTTATTCTTTGCTGAAAATCGAATCTCCATTCTATCTCGCAATTTTTTTTTGAAAAACGAAATCTTGCGAAGCCTATCAGCATTTCGTTTAGGCATATTAAGAGGTTGTCATATTCTCAGAAATTAGATTTAGTTCTTTTCTGAAAATCGCATCTCTACTCTATTTCGCAAATTTTTTTTTCAAGATCGCATTTTTGTGAAAGCCAAAACTTTGCGGAACCTGGCCTAGATCTTGCTCATAGTACTCTTCTGACATGCCTCACTCATAGCAGATCGACAGACAAAAAAAAAAAAAGGGGGGGGGTAATCTTCTTCTTTTATTTTTTAAATTTATTTTAGTCTGTTGATTAGGACCGGGAGGAAAGTATATCTGGGTTGGTTACCTACCTGCATTCCCTCCCACCCACCCCTTTGCATGCATTCCCGGGTTGGTACAGTGCCACGTCAGCAACAGTGCCACGTCAGCAGTGCCACATCAGCAACAGTGCCACGTCAGCAACAGTGCCACGTCAGCAGTGCCCCGCCACCATGACGGGCTCAACTCTGGGCATGCCAGGCCAACTGGCCAATGAGTCCATTGCCGAGTACCGACAGCGTTTCGAAGCTCAGCTCGCACTAATCGAGGTTGAGGAACAGCGCCAGCTGGCAGCCGAGGCTGTCCGCCTACAGGCTGAAGCGGCGGCAACAGTTGAAAAGCAGCGACTTCAAGCCGAAGCTGAAGCAGATACCCAGGCACGCCGCAAGGAGGCCCAGGATCTGCTACAGCGGCATGAAGCCACCAACATAGAAAAGCTCAAGTTCTGGCACTTTGAACCATCCGAAGAGCACGACGGCGCGACAATGTAATCTCCATTACGGACGGACAAATCTTTTTGGAAACAGAACTGTTTTATCGTGGAATCCGACCTGCTTTTGATGTAGGATTGTCTGTAAGTCGTGTAGGTTCTGCAGCTCAATTGAAAGCTATGAAACAAGTGTGCGGTAGTCTTAAACTAGAACTTGCACAATATCGTGAAGTAGCTGCTTTTGCTGAATTTGGCCCAGATCTTGATGCTGCCACTCAATATTTATTAAACCGTGGCGCGAGACTAACATAAGTGTTGAAACAACCACAATATAGTCCAATCTCGATTGAAAAGCAAGTTGTTGTTATTTATGCGGCTGTCAAAGGTTATTTAGATCAAATTCAAATTTATCAAATTCTTAAATATGAACAAGAGTTGTTGAAATCAATTGATCCAAGTTTGCTTTTTGCTATTGCACAACAAAAAACAATCACTGAACAAATCGATAGTCAACTGGCTAGCTTTTGTCAAAAATTTACTCAGAGTTTTTTAGCAACTCACTCGAGTTAATTCACCGATGACATGATGGGTCAATTATTTGCTTTATTCGTATTAGCACAAGGAATTCATGGCCAAGCTCATGACCAGGTTGGTTTACACTTGTAACCACCTGCAGTCCGAGCTGGCGAACCTCCAGCGGGCCGTGCGGAACCACAAGGCTCAGCACGAGGATGCAGCACGACACTTGATTCCCGCGTACAGGACTTGGAGCAAACTGCACCAAGATCGGAGGCTGGCGAGTCCAGCAGTGCACCCTCTGCCCGCCAACTGGAGGAACGCGTCGATCACGTAGTGGCAATGCTAGGTGATATCAACACCTTTGCAGCGCCAGCCACCATCAGCCAGCAGCTGGACACACTGAAGACCGAGATCAGGCAGCGACACCAGTCGCTCGACAACGATCGCAACACCAGCACCATCACGGCAAAGCATTACAAGATGCCGACGTTCCGGATTGAGAAGTTTGATGACTACACACATCAAGACCCGGTCGTCTGGTGGCAAGGATTCACAACGGAGTTGGGGATTCATGAGGTCCCCGAGCATCTGTTCATTGGGGCACTGTTCCTTAACGCCAAGGGAGGATGCTAGATTTGGCTCAGCCATATGGCAACCGTCCACGGCGTCCAGGTCTTCGACCTACACAAGAATGTCTCCTGGGAGGATCTGACAAAAGAATGGAAGAAGCGGTTCATCGTTGACGACGCCCCGACGCTCGCCATGAACCGCATCTTCACGATGGCTCAAGGAAACACAGCGACACGTGATTGGCTCACGGATTGGCAAAAGATCGTGGCGACGCCCGATCTGGACTTGCCATTCCCGCATCTGCGCCGGGAGTTTTACAACCGGTCATGCGCCGCTTTGAGCCTCACGCTTGGTGATCGCGAGCAATACAACACCTTCGCCGAAATCATCAACACAAGGCGAGGGAGATCATCAAGACAAACAGGGCGGCTGCACATGAGAAGTCAACGTGGAAGCCAACCTATGTGGAGAAGGTGAAAACTGGTCCGCGGCCGCAGCATGTCGCTGCAGTCCAAACGGACAACATTGTGGAAGACCCGACAGCCACCCAAGAGTCACGTGGGGGAGATCAGGTGGCTGCTGTCTAGCCGCGAAGCAATAACAAGTCCCGAGGAAACGGGAAGGCGAAAACCGCATCGCCGGCCAGAAACGGACAGCTAGCACCATGGGTCAAGTTTCACTTGACCAAGGCCGAGTACAAGTACCGCGGCCGTTACGGCTGCTGCTATTGGTGCAATAGCACCAAGCACAAAACCTCCCTCTGCCAGGATCAGAGCAAGGAGGATGTTCGGCCTCGTATCAACTCGGGAAACTGAGTTCCGCGGGAGGTGAGGCGACTCCACCTCCAACTCCGCCAGATTCTGTTGCCTTGCTAGCAGCCTCCTACACATCTGGGGAGGATGCGAATGTCGCAAGTTCTTGGTACACTTACGAGGACTATGCTGTCCACTTGGTCCCACCGTTGGACCAACCGCTCCACGTGCAACAATCTACCACAAGCATGGTTTCACCACCATCGGCAACCAATTCGGCAACTTCGCCGCCACCCATCACCGGGGATTCGACGTCATGGTCAAAACTTGAAGAGCTCGACCCGTTGACGTTCGCGGACTTCCAGTGGATGCCCGTTCCCCCGACCGGTCGATAACCGAAACCTCATTGCAACGTGCTCATGGCACAACTGCGGGATTACTTGCACACTGCAGTACCAACTCCGTTGATGGACGTCGGAGTAGAGGTTGTCGACCTTCATAATTACATTGCGAAGATCGACCGCGAGTTCATGACACAACGGTACGATGACATCGACGCACCATTGTTATATGTACGCATTCAGATCGGAGAGGGGACCTGCAGCGCTTTGATCGATTGCGGAGCATCTCGCAACTACATGAGCCAGGACTTTATGGTACGCGCCGGCCTTGGCCCACGCGCCTGGAGGAAGTCCCAGCCTACGCAAGTCACATTGGCAGACGGTCACACGCACAAGTCAATCGACCGGTGCATAGATGACGTCCCCGTGTACTTTGCCCCGCATGCAAGCGAGGCGGTGTCCTTCGATATTTTGGACACCAAATTCGACATGATCTTGGGCATGTCATGGCTGCGAAGCGAGGATCACCCGGTGAACTTCTACCACCGCACCGTTCACGTTCGTGATCGGAACGGAGTACTAGTCCCATGCACGGTGCCTCCTCCTCACCCTTCGATCAACTGCCACGTGGTGTCCGCCGCAAGCATGCGAGCTTCCATCATCAGAGACGACATCGAGGAGACGGGGGTGTGTTTTCTCCACGCCCTCCCGCCCCATGACGCTTCATCGATGGACTCATCTTCGGACCTACGCATCACCGAGCTTCTCGACGCCTACGGCGACGTGTTCGAAGGCCCGCACGGAGTAGTACCGGATCGGCCCATCCGCCATGAGATCATCCTCGAGGACGGGGTTGTACCTCCGCGTGGTTGCATCTACCGAATGAGCGAGGAAGAGCTAAGTGTGCTACGGGCACAACTCGACGACCTTCTTGAGAAAGGCTGGATTCGGCCTAGCTCCTCGCCATACGGTGCTCCCGTTCTCTTCGTCCGGAAGAAGAACAAGGATCTGCGGTTGTGCATCGATTATCGCAAGCTCAACGCGCAAACGGTCAAGAACGTCGGCCCTCTTCCACACATTGACGACCTCCTCGAACGGCTGGGCGGCGCCAAGTTCTTCTCCAAGCTAGACCTCAAATCGGGATATCACCAACTCGAGATCCGGCAGGAGGACCGCTACAAGACCGCGTTTAAGACGCGATATGGGCATTTCGAATGGCTGGTTATGCCGTTTGGCCTTACGAATGCCCCAACCACTTTCCACGCGGCTACGACAACGGAGTTCCGACACATGCTGGATCGATTCGTACTTATCTACCTCGACGACATTTTGGTGTACAGTCGGAGTTTGGACGAGCATGTGGAGCACCTGCGCACCGTTTTGGAGCGGCTACGACAAGCCAAGTACAAAGCCAACCGCGACAAATGCGAATTCGCGCGGCAGGAGCTGGAGTACTTGGGACATTATGTGACGCCGCAAGGCATCCGTCC